GAGAGCTAGAGAAGGAGTCTATCAGTGACATCCTAGAGTCTATGCCATGGGTTGTTGAAGAAAATGAGGATATCGACCACGGCACCTTTGCCTCCGGAATAAACCTGGATATTCCTCAACCAGTCAACGCGGGCTCGCAGGTGACGGAGCCACAGAGCTTGGATACGCCTTCCCAGGAGAAAGAAGCTACTTCGCAACTAGTGGAGACTCAACAAATGATGTCACCGTCACCCACGCCTCCCGTTCAGCCAGCGCAAGCCTCAGAGCCTCGTACGGCACCTAGAGACATCGTGGGAGATATCTCATCTCGCAACATTGTGTCTGGCTCACGCAGGCGAAGTTCCAGAGACACTAGTAATCTAGCCTTCTCAGTGGACGACGACGAAGAGGGTGTACTCGCTGCCTTCGCAACTGGCCTCAACGGATCCTACTCACACACGAGAACACACCGCGATGATCTACCCCCAGAGCCTCAATCTTGGAGAGAGATGTTGAATCACCCGTTTAACGAAGGCTTCCTAGCAGCTGCTGGACTTGAGGTCAAAACCATCGAACGGAAGGGCACTTTTGAGGTTATACGGCGTCCGAACGACCGTGGCGTGCAGGTCCTCCCATTGAAGTGGGTCTTCAACTATAAATTCGATAGTGACGGATATCTCGTGAAATTAAAGGCGAGAATCTGTGTGCGAGGAGACCTCCAGAAACTCTCTACAGAAGAGAAGTATTCAGCTACACTCGCCGCACGGACGGCCCGCGCCGTCCTCGCCTTGGTCCCTGCGTTTGACCTTGATACACATCAATTTGATGCTGTCAACGCCTTCCTAAATAGCTTGCTAGACGAAACGGTGATAACAGAGATGCCCGAGGGTTTTAGGCAGTCTGGCTATTGCTGGAAGCTACTGAGAGCTCTCTATGGCCTACGGAAATCTCCGAGGCTCTGGCAGCGCGAGGCCTCAAGGATCTTGACCCAACTAGGTCTCAAAGTCGTTCAAGAAGACCTCTGTCTCTTCGCAGCAGACGGTATCATTGTGTTCTTCTATGTAGACGACATAATTGTCGTCAATCACCCATCTCAGCGCCAGCGCGCGGCTGAGATCAGAGAAAAGCTTAACACCGCATGGGAATTGAGACACATGGGTGAAGCTTCATGGTTCCTTGGGATTCGTATAGTCCGTGATAGACAGCAGATGGCCCTCTGGCTCTGTCAGGACTCATACATCTCCTCTATGGCAAGCAGATATCACCTTACCACCCATCGTCGCTTTGATACACCCCTTGCGCCAGCTACATTAAAGCCGTATACTGGGCAAGCCACAAGTGAACGGATTAAGGAGTATCAGGAGAAGGTCGGCTCCGCTCAATATGCAACCACCATCACACGGCCAGATGCAGCCAAAGCAACCTCCACATTAGCTCAATTCCTCACGAATCCGGGTCCGGACCATCTAGAAGCCATCAACCGCGTGATATCATACCTCTATCACACACGCTTCCACGCCCTCACTTATCGCCCACGCCAATCCGAGGAGGATGAAGCCGTTACTCTCTTTAGTGATGCCTCGTTCGCCGATAACCCTGACCGGAAGAGCTCGGAGGGATATATCTGCAAGATCTTTGGAGGACCTGTTGACTGGAGAGCTGGCAAACAGCGCACGGTGACTACTAGCACAACCGAAGCGGAGCTGCTAGCGATCTCTGAGGCTGCGAGGACTATGAGCATGTGGAAACGCCTCTTTGAGGCTGTTCGCTTTGATCCAAAGCACGAGCTTGCTATCCGATGTGATAATCAACAGACAATTCGGCTTCTCACCAAGGAAGCTCCTCAGCTGCGGACGAAGCTACGTCATGTTGATATACACCACCTCTGGCTTCGTCAGGAGGTCCAGGCAGGCAGGATTCTCATCAAATGGACTGAGACGAAGGGTATGGCTGCGGACGGACTCACCAAGCTATTGCCACGTCAGAAGCATGCAGAATTCGTTCAAATGATGGGCATTGAGGATATTGGAAATCTGCTAGATTAACAAGAAGAGGTTGGAATTGTGCGAACGCTGGGGGGTGTGACAAACTAAAGGAGCGGTCAAATACCGCTATGGCCTTTTGGGATAGGCTTGTTCATCGTTCACCCAATTTCCCCTAGTATTTGTATGGTATTCGGACTAAATTCGGATACGGTGTCATAACACGCCAGAGCACGGACAGTAGACTCCAGAGATCGCTGAACCGATCTACACACCTTCAATCAATCATCAGATTCTATTGGACATGTGCAGTACTAGCCAGTACATTAATTCCTCATCCTGACAGTTATGAATGCATTGACCAGAACAAGTGTATATTACAGTATTTTATTTAGATAAGTCATCATTTATATCCGCCAAAACAGGAAAGTCTTGGCGAGTTTATGCAAATCAGGATCGAAACGGATTGATCCTAATCCGCCTTGCGTAGAACCGCGGTGCGGATCCGGATCAGGATTCAAAAGTTGGATCCGGATCCGCCCCATTTCGAGGTCTACGCGTTTTTGGATGGGGTGGCGGCTCGCTTGGGGTGGCGGCTCGCTTGGCAAACACGTTAGTTCGTGAATTCAATACATCTGACACCTCATTACCCCACCTCTTAAAGCAACCTCCCGTCCTTTTTATGCCAGGGCATTTTGATCAGCACAAAATTTCTACAAGGCTCACCGCCAGTTCTTGCGGAACTCCTGGATACAAGCAGTTATTCAGGCCGAAGCTGTTGGATTGTCTCCAAGTTGCGAAGGTCGCCTGGCTGCATGGTCAAATCATGATCGCTTGGGGTAAGTTCTGGGTAGTAGACACAACCAGTACAGAGTTAGGAGAAGGTGATAGCAAAATATTACAAATCTCGCTACTACGGTAGGATCTGCGTGATTGAAATCCGTTGTTGGACTATTGACTGCTAGGGTGCATGATGACCCCTTACAGCTTATAGATATTCGGTAGTGAGGTGACAAAGTTTGATAAATAGCAGCTCTATTCCTTCAACACTTTTTGCTTACGACCTCTTCTCGCATTAGAACGAAATCGGTTCTCTTATTTGCTCAATATTTTACAATTATTCGATACTTCATTGACGCTGGGATCGCTCTTTGCTAACGTCGTTGGACTATGCGTTATTGATTTTTATGTTTATATTCGGTCTTGCTAAAAGTCAAGAAGTTTGCGTTGGCACGGAAGTAAGTATTTATCTTCAAGTGGAGAGTATGATTATTGTGATTTAGGACTGACTGTCAAGGTTGTTGTTTGTGATATGGACGGAAACAAATACTTGGATGACTGTGCTTTCAACCGTGCTAAGGCTCGTAATCCTGAATTAACGCGAGCTCAGTGTAAGTGATGACCACTAATTTTATGAATACTACTGAAACAATGTGTTAGGTCCGGGCGCATACTGTGAGTGACTATCTCTAAAAACGGTGTATACTATAAAGGATTAGGGCTAACAGGTTGTTGAAAATGCACAGAATGGTAGTGAGAATACACGCTCTCATTTTACGTTCCTGCGCTAGTCTTATCCTTTCACTGTGGATATTTATGCAGAAAGATTTCGTAGGAGGGCATCTGTGTTAGGAATGGAGCGACCCGGATGTTTTAGATTTGTCTCGTTATAGGTTTGTCCTGTTCTGTCAGGTTTCCCTCTATCCTTAGTGCAGATGCAGAAACCCTTGAACTATTAAAATCTTAGCTGTGCTTTCTAGCCTAAGCTTCTTGCGTTAATTAAATATCGTTGTTACGAGGAGCTAGATGACACCCGAATTGCTAAATATAATGACATATCTTAGTAGGGTAATCTATCAATACAGTAGTGGAATGTTGAACCTAACTCGTTGAGTCGGCGTCCAAATCGTCATAATCTACGTCTCCAATCAAACAGTGCGCACAGTGCACAAATAAGAGTGTTCAAATGCTCAATTGGTTTTCAATGGTCAAAGCTGCGGGCTACTGGGGAAGAATTATGGATACAGCATCACCATTGTCGACAGATTGGCAAGAAAGACTACGATTGTTAAACGCGATGGCGATTGTTTAGCTGGCAAGTACATCAACAGTCATAAGAACCCATGAGTAAGATAAGTTTAGCATTCCCGGATATTCATTGCAAATTGCGGATGCGACGCTCCAGTAATGATCAGCCTGACCCGGTGCCTCTTCAAAATCTTTGTGTACAATCGTTCAAGTAGAGAATGACAGCCTTCTCGATCAGGATGCAGGCGCTTGTAGGTCTTGAAGACTTCTGACTTCTGACTGGCACTCGGAAGTATTATGCACGCTCGTCAGAAACTCAACAAGGCTTTTAAACCAATTCCAAAACCCTCCGTGGCAGGCAGCCTCCTAGTTAAACACCATCTCCATCAATAAAAGGACGGCGTCTACTGTCTATTTAACATGATTGGCTTTGAGCTCACAGCCTCGCCTGAGATACGTGCATTTCCCATTCCACGATCGTCTAAAGCTACTAGACCACTTATCGCCACACTCCTATCTCTTTCAGAAATCCTACCTCAATTAGATTATCTGTTGGCAGCCGGAGGTTAGCGATTTTGTTCCTCGCGTTATCCCGGATCCATAAAAGACGTGTAGCAAGGATTTTCGGACGAGCGCTGTGTCGGGCTTGATTTCCATCTGGTCCTTCCCCACAATATAGAGCACTTTGTGTGTATATGCCATTCAAGATACTGTTCTTTAAGATAATCTTCGTTCGGAATAATGTTTGTTTGGATTATGTTCACTCAAGGTAACTCAAGATAATGTTTGTTCAAGGTCATCTTCGTTTCAACTAATGTTCGCCCAAGACAATCTTGGTTGGTCAGATAACGTTATGGTACATCCGCTATGCAGCAAAATGGCAGGACTATTGAAACTGCGATGAAGCTATGTTTAAGCGAGAACACATATATGATGGCCAATTGCCGAGAAAGACACTACTGGAAATCCAGTATACCGAATCCGGCTGCGATCTGACTCAATTTGCCTTTTCTAACTTGCGACGCTATCCGCAATCATTCCACTGGGCGGGAACACATCGCATATGAAGCGGATTCGGGTGTGAGTGGGAACGTGAAAATAAATGCGTCTGGTGACATCAGATATTGTCGCTAGTGATCGTCCGTGTAGTATGCAAGTGGTGTTACCTGGAAAAGCGCAGACAGGATAGATGATTAGCTGGCTGATGAGACGGTGGAGTGTGCACATTTGTAGATGCATATGCTGAGAAACTCAATGAGAAATATGTACCGGAAGACTATTCGACAGAGCATTCTGGGAGTGTGCTTGTTGCTGCTGTTGCCCAAGTTCGAAGTCTGCCATTGTTGCGTAGCGTATGCTGAATGGACTGGTGGAATCCTTGTCGTAGGCGCTTTTGCCCGCCGTGTGCAGTGAAGGAAGCATAGGCACTACTGTGAAAACTGGATCGCTGTATTCCGTCTGATAGGTGGCAATTTCGTTGTAGTTAATCGAGGTAGCATGGTAGAAAGGAGACTGGAAGTAGGCTGATTGCCGGTGGGCGTCGTATGGGGACATCGAAGGATAGTAGAGGGCTTGTGGGGGGAATTCCGAGAGCTGGCGAGTGCATACTTGAGCGAAAATGTTTTGGCGATCATCTGAACTCGTGTAGCACTCGTAGGACGCAGGTCGGTCTGATGAATGCGAGTTGTGAGGCTTGACATCTGCCACAGACATAGACGTCCGCATCTTTGTTCGGGTCTTGGTCGGAGACGACTTTGGTAGAATTGGCTTTGCGTGTGATTGTTCCGGAGAAGCTGAAGACGCAGCTCGTCTCTCCAGATCCTCCAGTCGGCGCTTCAGCTTCTTGCCTATTAGGTCACGGCAAATGAGAAATATATACGAGACTGCCAAGTCAATAACGGGTACTTACGGTAGTTACGCTGAGCTATGCGGTTCTGAATGCGACGGCGCTCTGCGAGATCGGAAATTTTGGACCAGTCTTCATTGGCGTGGGCGTTACTGTGACTATTAAGAGAGCCTGAATGGTTATCGTACTCAGTGGAGTAATGCATGGTGGAGAAAGATGGAAGACGATCGGCAGAATGAGAAGTATAAGAAGAATGAAGAGTACAGAACTGTATAGGAGCCCTCGAAATCAGTTTCACCATTTCACCATTTCATTCTCTCTCTTTTTATTTTATTTTTTTATTTTTATTTTTTGGCAAACTCTACTCTGAAACAACGCTCTAGCCTTGTTATGGCCTAGCATATGTAATTACTCGAAATGTACTGTAAAGGAAAATCACACGATGGGTCGCTCCGTAATTTTCCGGAAGTAATCATACGCTACCCTTTATCCGCAAAGGACCAAGCGACTGAGGCCCGATGCCACCACCCTCACCTTCCCTCATGTGGGTTAGGTTCACGTCAGTAGTACTAAAGTGGGATTTATGCCAGCCAACACTGACGAGATCAATGTGTCATACAGGAAATGGGACCCTACTATAATAAACTTTTACACGGAAAAACCTCAGACACCCTACCCTGCCCTGTGCATGCTCCCGAATCTAACTACTGATAGAAGAAGGAAACAACAAAAAAGGGAAAAAGGAGAATAAATTATCATGGCAGAAACCGGTTCTCCTATCTCGGATCGCTCAGACTTCTCGGACCCCCCAGAATCACCCCATCAAACAATGACCAGGCGCAGAAACCGCCTCGTGAACATCATCAAGCAGAACGACCTCGCTCAACTCCATCAGTTCATCGCCTCATGCTCTCCCGAGGCTGTGATCGCCCCTGGGACGCCCTACTTAGAGGACACCTTGTTCAATGCAGCCTCATACGGCAGTCCTGAGGCTCTTCGCATCATCTTGGAGGTGTACACTGCGGCCCCGGACGTTGTCGAGAGGTTCAACCCCAAGATTTGTCTGCTGCTCGACGCATGTGGTGCGGCAAATGTTGATGTGGTGCGCTTTATCTTGGACAGCCATGACAGTCCGGAGAATCAGTCACCTCTCGGAACGGTGGATTTGCATCAGAGAGATGACTCCGGAGATACGCCGATCCTCGCGGCTGCAGGGTCGCTGATGTGTCTTGCCAAAGATGCAGATGAAGAGGACGAGACTGAGTGGATTCAGGATCGGATTTCAAGGGGCCATCAGTTGATTCATTTCCTTCTTGACTGGGGCTGTTCAGCGACAGATGTCGTTCCCCCTTTGCCAAATAATCTCTCTCCTTGGGGAAGTCAGGTGCAGGATAGTGTGCTTGGGCTTGCTGTGTCGAGGGCTAATGGTCCATTAATTCAACGGCTCATTGACTCCGGTGCCGATATCTATCTTAGGCATCAACACTTGCATCATGCCAAGGTACCGTTCCAGTTGAGGATGACAAAGGATCACGCATATGATGTCACAACGCTTCATCTGGCAAGTTTCTTCTACAATCCTGATGCTGTTAAGTTGCTCTTGGATCATCAACATTACAAGAACAATACCAACCCTGACCTGGCTTCCTCCCGTGACAGTGATGGGCGACTCCCACTGCATTGGGCAGCCAGCGGCCCTGGAGGTTTTAACTGTGGACTCCTGGATAAGCAGCTCAGAATTACAGAGACCCTTCGACTGCTTCTTAACTATGATTCTACTGGTATCAACCTCGTTGACAATACTGGATCCACGCCGCTGCACTATGCTGCTATGGCCCACGCTATGTGCGGTTGTAGCCAGCACGCTCAGCTTGCTATCCGCACTTTTCTCGAATACAAGGCTGACCCCCGGATCCCCGATGGCTCTGGCCGTACCGTCCTACATCTATTAGGGTACCACTCCCATCAAGGTGAACCCATCGAGACCACATTCCTGGATTTAATCCTGTCACACGGTGCCAATATCAACCATACCGAGAACAACGGCAAAACGCCATTGCACGTCTTTGCTCAGAACCTGCGGCAGGTCTCGGCGGCAAAGTTCTTAATTACGCATGGGGCGGATTTCCGCGCTCGGAATAGTCTCCGGGAGACGCCCTTTCACGCGGCAGCGCGGGGGTTTTTGAATGATCATGTACGCCGTGATGGGACAGATGAGCAAGTGACAACTGTGAACAAGATCAGGCTTCAGGATGAGATGATGCGTGCTCTGCAGGAGGCTGCCGGGGAGGATACTGCCATCTTAATGAGCCAACCAAATGCGGAGGGTAAAACTCCGCAGGACTTACTAGAGGAGACGAGAAATCGGTGGCAGGGGCGGGACCAGCGCATACCAGGCCCCGGAAGAGGCAGAGGGCAGCCAGTAGGAGCTTAATTACAGTTCCGGAAGAATCTCTCATAAGGGTAGCCATCGTAGCACTTCTGACATATTTTGGAACTATTAGAGTTTATGTTTGCTACACCAACAAGGGTCCTTGCCATGCTTCAGGTCATTATAGTAGAAAACTAATCACAAGCTCTAAACAAATCAGTGCCACCCCATGAACATAGTCGTGAAGGGAGCTCTATAGTATCTCATAAGTTCCACACGCAGACCATTGGTCGTGCACAAATCCTGGATCAAGTACTAGGTCGGGTTGCGATGAGATCTCTCTTGCAGCCCTTCAGCAAATGACAGACACCTCTTCGCGGTGCTGGAGACTATTACTCGGTTTAATCTGAGCCGAGGAAGCCAAGGGAAGCCAAGATCTGTCCTCAAATTTTACACAACATTTTACACAGTGCGTGGAACTGGCAAGAAGTATTCAGAATTTTAAACTGTCAACATTATTCAAAGACCCTGTGTCCGCGCAATTAACACCGTCTTTAAATGGCATAGGATACCTGAAAGAGGCAAATAATAATCGCGGAACGACAAGATAGACTCTAATTATCTGGTTGCAATGAACAACACCCTGCTTCATACAAACTTGTCTTTATACTGTGGCAAGAAGGTCGTTGTCTCTATTAATGGGAAGCCGTCCATCCTGCCTCTCTTTATCGGAGACGGTTGTGGGCGCTGTAGTATGGGGCCTTCAATTAGCAGAACATGGAATTCAAACGCCGCTCCGGGTTGACCTGAGTCATGAAGTGCTTCAAGCGCTGTCTGGAGACGCCTGTCACGCTGGCCACGTAGAGATTTCCTGGGAGTTTTTTGATGAGCTTGTCTATGAGTTTGATGCGGGTACCCCAAGCAATGCTGAGATTGCCACCGCTGAGTTTTCTCCTTCGTCCGGGACTCCGACATGGATGGCGGCAGGCTCATCCGCTAGCTATGCTCCTGGCCCATGCATAACCTGTGTGGAAAACGAGTGGAAATGCGGTGGTAATGTGCTTGAGCAGCGCATCGGCAGTACCTGGGGCCCGCGTGTTACTTGTGCGGTGGGCACCAGCTGCCAGGGCGGTTCTAACCCTTATTGCGGCTAAACCTATAAATGTGACAGTCGTCTGTACCACTACAGTATCAGTGAAATCAGTGGTTGGGCCTCAACAGGGCTTCTGCAGCAAGGCATAAAACCAGACCTTTTGAGTCCCGGAGGTGCAGATGATGATAGAAATACATGAAGAGCCAGCAAAACCCGAAGGACCGATGGCGAGGCATCGCTTATTATTCTTCTCGATCATGGCATCAGGTAGATAAAACCAATGCAGGATATCATGTCGTGGACAGAGTGAATCAGAAAGTCACCTTCCATTCGCTGAATTTCTGCCACTGAACAGTCTGATATGACGGTCGAGGTTAAAAAGGGACGGTTGCTTATCAGCTTATGGGAGGAGGCGGATAAGTGTATATCACTTAGCAGGATGGTTCAGCCACAAATGGGTCTGTGCACACGATTTGGGGTAAGTTACCCGCAAACCGAATGCCGACAGATAAAGATGTTGGAGAGATTGGAGACCGAGAAGATAAGTTACTGTCATTGGAGAGGCATAGAGTGGACCTTTCCCAACCAGATTGGAAATCTGTAAGTTAAGGGGCGTCGCTGCGTGTGACATGATGACTACCTAGGTTTGTAGAGTGAAGCGAATCCATGCTGAATGTTTATTCCCCGAGGTAATTTTTAGCTAATTGTGCTTTCGTGATATATAGGATATCTACGGAGCCAACTACTTCATCACCGATGTTCCAGCAGAGAACTTGACCCATCTTGTCTTTGCTTTCGCCAACGTCAACACTACTACTGGCAACGTGTATGAACACATCCACATCTTCGGGGGGTAGGCTAGCTAATAGATGTTATATATAGGATATTGAGTACACTTGGGCGGATCTCCAGTATGCGTACCCTGGAGATAATACCAGTGCTTCGGGAGAAAATGTATATGGGAATATCAAGCAGATGTTCCTGTTGAAGAAGAAGCACCGCCATCTCAAAACGATGCTCTCCATCGGTGGCTGGAGCTACCGCGAGAATTTTCCCCCTATGCTTGCATCTAGCACCAAGCGGCAGAACTTCGTTGATACGGCCGTCCAATTTGTCGCAGATCTCGGCTTCGATGGAATTGATATCGATTATGAGTACGTCGCAGACCACAGCCAAGCGGCGCAGATGGTCGATTTGCTTAGGCGTCTGCGCCAGAGTCTGGACCAACTGGCAGAGAAGACAGACGCTACATCCCCATTCCAGATCAGCTATGCCTCTCCAGCGGACAAGGACAAGGCTGTCATGTTAGACCTCACTAGCATGACCCCGTATCTCGATTTCTACACTGTTATGGCTTTGGACTATATGGGACCCGGATTCAGCAATTACTCTGGCTACTTGTCAAACTTGTTCCCGGAAGTCCGCAATCCACGTGCAACTGATTATGATACAAACTCGAGCCTTGATTTTTACATGTTTAACGGTCAGGTTCCACCCAACAAGATCGTTCTGGAGAACCCGCTGTACGGTCGTGTCTTCAATGGCACTAATGGCGTGGGCGATAAGTTCTCCAATGGCGGCACACAGGGCAGCCTTGGTACCGCTGGGCTTTGGAATTACAACGCGCTTCCCCTACCAAAATTCGACGCAAAGGTTGTCAACATTCCCCGTGTCGGCGGAAGCTACAGCTACGACGCCAAGCAGAAATACCTGATTAGCTATGATACTCCTGAGATAGCCGCCCTCAAGGCTGAGTATGTCCAGTGTTTGGGTCTTGCTGGCACCGCCTGGTGGGAAGTTAGCATGGACCGGAATGATACTCTGAGTCTCATCGGAACCACTGTCTCTCTGTTTGGAGGCGCTGGCGCTTTGGATCAGTCTCTTAACAACTTGAACTATCCCACCAGCACATATGTTAACCTGAAGGATGGCTTCACTAGCAATTAAATCAGCCACCACGTTAAGGGAACTCGAATTGTGTTTGGTTGACCAACTGCAAGGTTTTCTGATACCTGGCATGGCCAGCCACCCTACTGATCTTGCGTATTCCTCGTTTTGTCCGACTTGGATTCAATGACTAGTCGCTTTCCACCCTTTCGTTATTCATTGCAGAGAGGCTTTCTTCCTTTTATCATTTCCTGCTTTTTACTTTTGCACGTGTGCCTCAAGGTAATCACAGCCACAACCAGTTTTGTGCCTTTTACAGGCCCTTCTGGTCCTACCAGACCTTTCCCTCCTTTTCTCCCCATGGCCAACATTGTCCCTTCTTACTAAAAGTCAGCTCAATCAACTTTCTTAATTTGGCTTTTCCATTTCTCTTTTTAATCCTTGTTGTTTACCAAGTGTTATTTCTCCCCTGTCTGCTCGGGAAGCAAAATTAGCGTTGTTTTTAATGCATACAATTAGTGGATTCTAACAAGGATTCTCGTACATCTAGTGCTAAGGGAGCCAATTAAACGAACTATTGAAGAATTAATTACCAGGTCGCAGCTGGGATAAGGACTTTCGCATGCACTAAAATGACTCAATCATGAACAGCTAGATCATGTGCAGAGGCGATGGCCAGCCTAATCTCATCTACTTTCCCCCGTATCAGGTGCACCACTAGACAATATGAAATCGCGTTTTCTTTTCTGTATAACGGTGGTAAACCAACGCAGGGATTTCCAGCCTAGCAACCACCTCTTTTTTCTCTTTTTTCCCCTTTCTTCGAGGTCCGCAAAGCCGCAAAAGCACCCAAGTAGATCCTTACAACGCTGCTTAAATTTAGGAATAATACATTGAGGGTATAGAACTCACCGGTGAATCGACAACAAGAGTCGGAGAAAGCGTCCCTAGTATCCAGCCTATAAGTTGCTCCTTGGCTTCGTAATCCATCAGAATTGGGGACCTGCTAGTGTACAAAAGAGTCCAGGGGCAAAAAAAAATCCGGGAGAGATAGCCACAGCCGCAACGTCGGCCTTCATTTTATTTTATTTTATTTTATTTTTTTGCACTGGATTATTCGCATAAGTTTGAGAGACAATGACATTAAAATGAGAGAAGAGGTATTTCCTGGCCGATTTAACCGAGAACAATGAGATATTTATTTTTGCCCCTATTCACAACCAATGTGAGACCTGTATAAATGCACATGTGCAGCTTCGGTCGGAGCTTACAGGTTGTGTCAGTTAGATTAGAATCCTGGTATTGAAACATTTTTCGCCACATTCGATGGGATCAAGCCATGTGGAGCTCTTGCATCTATCTCAAAGACTGACGGGAATTCCAGTTGCTCCAACCTGAGCAAGAGATTGCAATTCGTCTAGCGTAGTAGAATGGCCAGCAGATGTGAAGCACACTAAACAGATGCATGCACGCATTCGAGGAAGATTTCCGTCAAAACCGTGCCGACATGAAACGCCACATTAATCTATGGGACGATTTGATGCTAAGCTCAGCCAAGCTCGGTTCGGTTCGTCTTGTTTGTCTTGAGTTTTTTTCCCGCTTCTCCACTACGTAGCTGGCTAGTTATCGTGGCTCTTTCGCCTGAACTTTCCATGATTCTTGGCATCTATAACCGAGCTAGCTAAATATTAGTATCACCCACCCAGGTTCGGCTCACAGTAGGTTCACTCTCTCGCCATTCCACTTTTGAGTTCTTCTCTGGAGGTCATCCTTCAGACCGTCAGCGTGATCTCGCGGCTCTGGATGCTCGTCGCAGCGGTCTTGGCAGGCCTTGTGCCTCTGTCATTTGCACAGCAGTTTGCCAATACCACGATGTTTACAGCATATGCAGGGCTGAGCACTGAGTGTCAGGAGGCTCTGGCGACTAAAGTCATTTGCTCACCCACCTTGGGCCTAATATCTCAAAGGTAAACAGCCCCTGCATCAGCAGTCGTTGTTTCGAGTGACTGATACATGTATAGCCCACCAGGAGGGTACCTCAATGACACCACAGTCATGTCAAGCAACTCGACTGCGCCTGGAGCCAATATCACCACTGCCGCGGCTGTGCCAACGAATGCCGTTGAGGGGACTAACACAGACTGCGGTGCCTGGCATACTGTAAGTGGAAACTGCACTCCAGTCAGATCTGAACGGAGTCGACTAACTTGCACTTAGGTTGTGACAGGAGACACATGCAGTCTTGTATCCATAGCTAACGAAATCTCTCTCACGGACTTCTATTTCCTGAATCCAGAGATTGACGCCAATTGCACCAACCTACTCCTCGGCGAGTCCTACTGTGTGGCGCCCGTGGGTTCCATCACCACATACGCTAGCTATCCCATTACAACACCTCTTTTTACAGTAACCCCGGCCGCCTTCTCCTCTGTTGACACGTCAATTTCTACTGCCACCAACGACCCAGGATATATCTATACTCCGACCTACTACCCGATTGCGCCCAGCACGAAGGCGGGTTGTGCCACGTATCGCAATTACACGGACAGAACGAACATAATTATCGATTCCACGGACACGATGATTACGATGCTCAACTCCTGCAAATATGTCGCGTTTGCCTATCAAGTCACTACTGACCAGCTCATGGAGTGGAATCCTAGTCTTTCAACAAACGCGAGCACCTGTGCCTTACAACCTGGCTATAGCTACTGCGTCTTGGAGAGCGAGGATTCCAGTAGGTCTCAATAGTCATTCGTCGTCTTGCTCCTTTAAACTTACAAGAAACATAGTAACCCGGGAGGACAGCGGCACCGTCTGCCTATCCATCAACGCCACAGAGTCTACTACTGTGTCAAACTGTAACTGCTTCACCAAGGTCTTTGGCTACATGAGCAATGGTAAGCATTCCACTAAATAGGGAGGACGAACACAGGATCAAAGGTGGTGTCCAGCCGACTGATGTATACACTAGATTACACTTGTGCGGGTATTGTAGACGACGTGGACATCACAGAAGCCGAACTGCTGGCATGGAACCCCTGGCTCGCTGGTGATTGCGATACCGAGCTTTACGTGAACATCACCGGGAATGATGTTCGCGCAGTGTGTATCGGAATTGATACCAATGCAACAACAACTGCCTCGAGCACCCCAGCAGTTCGTTCCAACCCCGGCCGACACTATTCCTATTTAACTATTTTCCGAGGGTGAAGCACCTCCCTACAATACTTTTTGGTCAGTGCTTGATTGAAATTTCATGAAAAGGAGGGGTTGCGTCCAAACTCGAAAACACTGGGAGACGCAACAAAGTGATTTGAGCGCGGGGTATTCGAGAGTATGGAGTATTATTGATATGATATCAAATGGCAACGATGTATTGTGGTGTTTATGTCGAAACGCGCAACGTTGGTGGTTGTAGGAAGAATTTTGAGGGAGGAAGCAACGAGATCTCCGGTCCAGAAAGACATGACAACTGAGTCGTACGACTTTATGAGGGGTGAAATGATTTCGTGCGCCTGGAAGGTGCGGGATTATAAAAACTGCCGGTGATGAAAGGCGGTGAAATGCAAATAAATCAGTTTCCAATTAGTGATGGCTTGAGTGGATGGATGCTCGCACCACATCTATTTGACCATTTCACATTGTCACATCGTTAGATCAACCATCAAATGACTCCACGATTATAGGACAGGGAATCAGATTGGCGCATACCAAGTTTTGTTACAGTATGTGGGGTGTAATTATCATCTTCCCAGGAATGGGATATGTTGTGATATGAGACTGGTGCAGATCAGGAACCATGCCGGAACCGTTGGAATTAATCCCGAAGTTTGTATACGAAGAACCAAGTCGATTGGAAATCCACTTGACCAGGAACGTGACCGGTGGCCTGTAGTGACGATGGGTAGTCTTACAAGCTTCCTGAGTCTCCACCTTTTTCCTTACTTGGTATAACGCTGGCAACACGACAAGTGTCTCTTATGGAAGGCCTTCTATCCGGTCTACTTTGAATAGCCAAATTCCACAGTGACAATATATTCTATCGAACATTGAAGAGAGCTATCGCTTTCCCAAGCCACGAAGCACACTCGTCCACACCAACCACTCTGTCAACCCGAGATTCCATTTATGCGGCAGTATCGTCCTACTCTGCTTTATTTACCATGTATCTCAATGCCATTCATCCATGAGCAATACAGTCACAGATTTGGTTTCTCTCTTAGCCAATCTCATTTTTTTGGGACTTCTACCTCTTGTCGCTACATCCTGGGTTCGGGAAAGCAGCTCCCCTCTGCCTACTTCCTGCTGGGCCAGCTTAGAATCATTCTTCACATATGGGGGACGTCTGTATAGTCTTGCTTTTTGAAGCTACTGGTGGTGAAAATAACAATTTCATTTTCCTAGAAGAGTCACACTGGGCGGGGTGGTCTGTGCCAATTATTTGCTTACATGTAGGCATGAACCATAAATAACCCAATTACCCAAGTTCTACCAATCCAATTTAGCGAAGGAAGAATCTGACCATGATGTTGCGTTCGTATTGCCGCATTGACTTTTGTGGGGTATTTGAATTAAGTGCGTATTCTGAACTGATACGACGAAGGTTGAATTTGTATCTAATAGAAAAAGCTTTTACTCGGGTTACAACGTTTATATGCCCTCAAGAGAGGATGCATGATATGCGGCAGCGGGGTTATACGTCTCCGCTGTAAGCATGGTGGCTCCAGGAATTAACAAAAGGCCCTTCAGAGCAAAGCATCTGTTCCTGGATTAAGATTGTGACCCAGGAGCTGAAGTACCGGGGAGCGCGTGGCAGCGTTCCTGGGGACGGTTCCTGTATCCCTAGAGACAAGCCAGCCGGTCTCCAGGAGGGTCGCGTCTCATTTTATTTCTCGGATTTTATAGGTGTCCCCACCTGCCTAGGAGCGAACATTAATTAATTGATTCATAGGCTGTCCACAGCCGCCCTATCGAGTTAGTTTACCCAACTAGACCATATAGTGAGTTTCGCGCGGTCGTAAGTCATGCCACGGGGAGGGTATTTTGCTCATTTTACTCATTGACTCACGCTGTTTATTTCGACTGAGAACTTACGGTGTAGAGGAACTATTCAGAATACAACATGAACATCGTAGATCAACGTAATAACGCCTTGCATAACATAGTGAGTTGGTTAAACCGTCGAGGTCAAAGGAGAGAACAACTTTAGTTTTAATTTCGTAATGAACAGAAAGAGGACTGCTCGAGCCGACGTGTTAGACTGAATTATCCGTTACCCTTTGTGTTCGTTGCGAATGTGTACGGCGGTTCAACCGACTACGAGAGAACAGTTGGCTTTCAGCGGATAAATAAACAAACAGCAAAGGTTATTCAAGTCAGGCACGCACAGACACAAGCAAACAGACAACTCAAATACAGCATTTATGTGATCTTAACCAGACGGAGCATTGTCTACTGTTGTATTATCTTATGTGTCTTAAACGTTTGTGTCGGCCTGTGTGCTGGCCAAACTCTGACTGACTGACTCGATCAGGATACCAGCTGACTGGGCCAAGGATAAAACAGATGGGCAAAGGACACGACACTTGCACGCCATAGAATCTAAGCATCCGTAACACACAATTCGCGGAGCTACATGAACACCAAGTCCAGTGCATTCCGACGAAGCCGAATGGACATCATGGTCAAATTCCTTTCGCTAAAGTGGATTGGTAGGACTGTGGGTAATTGGGTAGTTTGGGGTTCATGCCTACATGTAAGCAACTCGTGTAACGTATTTGTCAAGAAAAGCGGTCCTTACAGTACTAGCTTACTCGAGTTTTAGCAGCACCCATTTTTGCTTACTCATTTGCTACAGTATAAATGGCTACTTCGCCAAGCCATTCACCGCTTCATGAGCATTGGTTAAATAGCGCAGCATCAGCTTGTCCTAGAATTTACACTCATTCTATGATATCAAGGCCGACCAATGGTCTGTTGTAGAACTAGCGCGTACCGTATCTCTTGGAATCGACAGTTATGAGCCCGGTTAGCAAGCGTATCATTGAATAAATCAGTATTCGAGATCGCAAACCTCGAAGCCTTCCGAGCAAGCCTTCGAGCCCCTGAGCAAGTCGCTTCCAGCAAAGTCGCTTCCGAGCAAGCACGCTGAAGCCATCACAAACTCCCTCCGAATTCAAACAAGAGAACACGCCGAGATGTCACTCCCATACGACGAGCTCTACAGACATGAGCCCGCCGACGCTCAACGCTTCGGCCTAGTCCGAGCGAGCATTGTGCTACACTCCTCCGCCCAGTGGAGGACTTGGTACAGCCAAATCCAGACAGTTGCTAAGGGCAATGACGTCTGGGAATACCTCGATCCCGAGGACCAACACCCACCGGCCCTACCGACGAAGCCAGTGAGACCGAGCAAATTCGACTACGAAAGAGAGTCAGAAACAAGCGATAAGCTCACGAAGGAGGGTCGCCGGGAATACCAAGAAGACAGAAAGGAGTATGATACCGACCTAGCCGAGTACAACACTATCAAGCGAGCCATAGACCGAGTCACCGAGCGAATTCGAAACTCACTTGCGCCAGAGCTCCAGCAACTTACCGTTGACGTATTCGACGTACATACCCTCCTTATCGCACTTCGAGACCGTTTCTCACTTGCTGAAAGAGAAAGGAAGCAAGAGCTACGCACCCAGTGGAATGCTCTAGCTTCAACACCAGTCAAAGACTCTGGACTTGACGCAATGATCATGAGATGGGAAAACCTATACCAGGAATGCAAGGCTGCAGAGGTCTCATTCACGAAGGATGCTGATGATGCTATCTACGACTTCCTTACTGCTATCAAGCAAGTGGATCCTCAGTTCTCCTACACTTGGTATCAGAAGACTTTCAGGGAGGAAGGCAACGTAAGCTTCACGAGCATGCTAAATGCGTTCCGAACGGAGAGGACCGTTTTTCGGCCGAAAAAGGGTCTCAAGGCAACTCACGCTTCATTCGCTACGCTAAATGGCCAGGAAGAAGCCGGAAAGCCGCAACCTCAGCGCAAAGCTGGTAGCGGAAATGACCGAAAGAAACTGCCTAGCAATCCTACTTGCGTCTGCGAGGATAAGCATCTCTACCAAGCTTGCCCATATCTCGTCAAAGCTGTCCGACCATCAGGATGGAAGCCTGATCCTAGCATCAAGAAGAAGATCAGCCAAAACACGGAAAAGTTATCTTCAGCAGCTCAAAGAAAAGTCAAAGACCTCACTGCCAAGCTAGCTGAAAGCACCGCAAGCGATACACAAGCGCACTTCGCTGAATTTCGAGAGGACGAATCTCCCTTTAGCTTCCTAACATGGGATGATAAGCCGATAACAGCATTCCCTACCACACAGCAAGCATCAATCAAAGACAGATGGCTAATTGATACGGCTTCTACAAGGCATATCTCAAACAAACGAAGCCTATTCACTGATTTTAAGGAATCAAACGGCACTATCAAGGTCGGAGACACCTACTGCACCCTTCAAGGAAGTGGAAAAGTCAGCATCAAGGCACTTAGTCCTACCACAGGGAAGCCAGTGACAATTACGCTTGACGACGTCGAGTACTCACCAGGATTTCACACAAACCTGATCTCACTTGGAATCATCAAGAAGCGAGGTTTTATAGCGGACTTTGACAACTTAACGATCGTTAGCAAGCAGTCCGGCAAGTGTATTGCAAAGATAGAGGAAATTGGTAACCTCTTCGCACTCTCAGAGGTAGACATACTGTTTCCTGCCTCATTCGCAACAACTGCATTTGCTTCAACCACTAAGCGTTCTACCGTACCGCTTGTCTCAAAAGCAACCGCTGAAACATGGCATCGCCGACTTGGTCATATGCATGATCAACGTATCGAGAAGCTTGCCGATATGGTAGATGGCATCGAAGTCACAAAACCTACTGGTCAAGCACAACAAGACAATCCTGAGCACTGCGAAGTGTGTCAGTTGACAAAAGCGCATCGCCAAGTGTCTCGAAGAGCTCAAGGAGCCACATTCGGACCGCTTGGTCGAATTCACTTCGATCTAATTCCGATCCAAGAAGCCTATAACGGCGACAGGTGGATAACTCATTTCTATATTGATGGCATCCGCTACCATTGGGCTGCAACGCACCCACAAAAGAACGGCTGTCAGGAAGCAGTCACTAGCTTCGTGTCACAAATGAAGACTTGGTTCAACTTGCCGATCCGTGCCTTTCATTATGATAATGAGAGATCAGCAGGCAGAGCTGTCGAGGATTTCCTCACTCACTGCGGTATCGTCATCCAACACAGCATCCCCGGCACTCCTGAAATGAATTCGTTTGCCGAGCGATCTGGGGGGTGATAATAGCAAGGATGAGATCACTTCTCGAAGACTCTAAGCTCCCCTAAGAATCTCTGGCCGGAAGCAGCGCAAGCAGCTATCTATATACTAAACAGATCGCCCACCAAGCTCAATGATGGCCGCTGGATCATCCCACAACAGGAGTTTCACCAGCAAGGAACTAGCACATGGGTTCCGATCAACCTATCAAATCTTCGAGTATACGGTTGTCGCACCTACGTCAGAATTCAGGGGATCCCTCAATCCGATAAAATGCATCGCCGAGCTGAAATTGGCTACTTGGTCGGATATAAAACAGGCAACATCTGGAAAATCTGGTTTCCTAGGTCTAATACCAGCAAGTACGTCCGAGACGCAGTGTTCGATGAGAATATGAACTATTCACACCAGCCGAAAGAAGCTCCAATCATCAGCCAGATACCCTACACAGAGGTTTTCGATCAGGAAGAGCTTGAAGCAGAGCTTGAGCAGGCCCTACGCCGACTTGCTACATCACCAATCATACAAAATGAGCCACAAGATCCGCAAGAAGCAATTGAGACCCGATCTCAACAAATGCCAATTGAACAAGCCGAAGCATCACAACAAGTGTCAAAACTTCAACAATCCACTTCGCCACAATGGCAACAAGTGACCCCGTCACTCACTCCACGAATGACTCCGCTGCCAGCGAGTCTTCCGCCAAGTCCGATACCAAGCGAGGTGCCGCTGCCGACCAGCGTACCAAACTCGCCATTACCGGCACCACTCACGGCCATTCCATATGAGCCTGTTACACCGGATCAAGCGCTTCGTCCAGCTTATCCGCAAGCACCAGAACGAACAGCATTCAAGCAAGTGGACGTAGTTCCAGTACGACCAATTGTCTACACTCCGTCAAGTCCAGCACCGGCCTCCTCTCCAGATCAGCAAGTTCCGGGAAGCTTCCCCACAGCTTCACAAGGTCACCAAGCCATTCGAGATATTAACGGAGACGTCTCTACAGACAACGTTATCCAAGGCACTCGAAGAAGGACAGTGAGAAAGGACCCATACCTTGCGAGTTACTTCACGTACGATGACCAAGATGACCATGAAGGCGTACTAGCTGCATTTGCTTCCGCGCTCTCATCCACTCGCCCAGAACCTCGCTACCATCGCGATGATCTTACTCCTGAACCCCAAAGCTGGAAGGAAATGATTAATCATCCGTTTCGGGACGGTTTCATGGCCGCAGCAGGCCTCGAAGTGGAATCTATCAAGCTCCGTCAAACATTCAAAGTTGAACCACGCCCTCAGGACCGCAGCATTCAGGTCCTACCACTCAAGTGGGTTTTCAACTATAAGTATGACAGCAATGGTTTCCTCACCAAGCTTAAAGCACGAATCTGTGTTCGAGGCGACCTACAAACCATTAGCTCAGACGACAAGCGAGCCGCCACGCTTGCTGCCCGTACAGCCCGTGCAATATTCGCACTCGTTGCTGCATTTGACCTAGGAACCTTCCAACTCGACGCTGTTAACGCATTTCTCAATAGTGATCTCGACGAAGAGGTGTATACGTATATGCCTGAAGGTTTCCACGATTCAACAAGCGTCTGGAAGCTCCTTAAAGCACTTTATGGCTTACGCAAGTCTCCGAAACTATGGCAGCAAGAAGCCACACGCGTTCTTAGAAAGCTTGGATTTCAGCACGTACCAGAGGATATATGCCTATTCACGAGAAATGGAGTCATTGTGTTCTTTTATGTGGACGATATAATTATCGTCTACCACCGAGCGAGATACCAGGAAGCTTTAACGCTGCGCCAACAGCTTAAAGAGCACTGGGAACTTCGGGACATAGGAGAAGCAAGCTGGTTTCTCGGCATTCGCATCCTCCGGGATACTAAGCAGCATAAGCTATGGCTTTGCCAGGATTCCTATATCGCATCAATGGCCGCCAAGTATGGTCTTACCAACGGACGAAAGGTTACAACACCTCTACCAGTCAATCGCATGACTCGGTATACGGGACAAGCAACTAAGGAGCAGATTCACGAATACCAGCAGAAGGTAGGATCAGTCATCTATCCAACAGTCATCACACGTCCAGATGCTGCCAAAGCAGCAAATCACTTGGCCGAGTTCCTCACGAACCCCGGACCCGAACACCGAGAAGCAGCAAACCGCCTTATCCAGTATCTCTACCAAACAAGGTTCCTTGCTCTCGAGTATCATCCAACTCTCACGGAGTCTGCACTCCACTTCTTTAGCGATGCATCATTCGGAGATCACGTTGATCGGAAAAGCTCAGAAGGCTTCCTCTGTAAGCTGTTTGGAGCAGCAGTCGACTGGAAAGCCAGCAAGCAACGAACCGTCACAACGTCGACAACTGAAGCCGAGCTGCTAGCTATATCTGAGGCTGGCAAGTCAGCTATGTGGTGGAAAAGGCTACTTCACGCAGTCAATCTCGACTATCAATCAGGACTAGACATCCACTGCGACAATCAGCAAACCGTCGATCTTCTCACTAAGGAGCAACCTCAGCTTCGCACCAAGCTTCGCCACGTCGATATCCACAATAACTGGCTTCGTCAAGAAGTTGAAGCCGGCACTATCTCAATCAAATGGGTTCCCACAGCCGAAATGGCCGCCGATGGACTCACTAAGCTGCTTCCATCACAGTCCCATGCGCAATTCATTCAGACACTAGGATTGGTCGACATTAAGCACTTGGTGGAGGACAAAGTGGCATGAAAGAGAAGCAGAATGGCTGCTGAGGGGGTGTGTCAAGAAAAGCGGTCCTTACAGTACTAGCTTACTCGAGTTTTAGCAGCACCCATTTTTGCTTACTCATTTGCTACAGTATAAATGGCTACTTCGCCAAGCCATTCACCGCTTCATGAGCATTGGTTAAATAGCGCAGCATCAGCTTGTCCTAGAATTTACACTCATTCTATGATATCAAGGCCGACCAATGGTCTGTTGTAGAACTAGCGCGTACCGTATCTCTTGGAATCGACAGTATTGTGTAAGCGAGTGGAACATGTAAGCGAGTGGAACACCTACGCGTTAGTTTCGCGTCATGTTCATTACATCAATTTTCAACCACCCACAATGCCACCAATTCGCTCTCAAAGCTCTCAAAAACGTATAGAGCAAGAGGGTAGGATCTTATTAGCTATTCGCTCTCTTCAGTCCGATGAAAAATGCTCAATTCGTCAATTGGCTCGCGATTTCGACGTCCCGCTGAATACGCTCCGTCGCCGTATGGCAGGTGTCAAAAGTCGCGAAGAAACCCGCGCCAACAGCCATAAATTGACTTTTTTGGAAGAGGAATCCCTTGAGAATTGGATCATCTCATTAGATGAGCGTGGAGCTGCCCCTCGGCCAAATACCGTACGAGAAGTGGCCAATTTGCTCCTCGCGGACCGTGGGACTGACCCGACCGAGACAGTCGGGGTGAAATGGGTCTATAACTTCGTCCAACGGCATCCTAACCTCTCCACGCCCTTAGATTGTAAAGATATCTCTCAGATCAACTCGACCCCACTCATCGGGGGCTCCTAACTGATATACTGTCTATTCAGGAGATGTCTCGGTAGCTTACAGAACGGGCCATCATACATGTCTTTTCCCTGCTCTTCCGTTCAAGCTAGGTTCACATACAGTCAGGCCATATCCACAGCCACAGGTTTCACCTTTTTCGTCGTCCCTCATAGCACGCCGTCCAACCGCAAGTCCCCCAATCACCCCCTGCTTCTTCCCAACAACCTCAATACTGCGACCGCACTTTCAAATTCCACACCTATTAGCATGGCTAGCGGGTCCGTTGCTGAGCTCATGACGTATGTTAAGCACCTTTTCCTGAGACGTAATAATTACGTTAACTTAGTGTCCTCCAGGAACGAGGAGTATAAGCGGAAAGTCGAGCATTCAGTTGACCCAATTGTTGTCACCTTCCTTTCCCCTTTGGACGATAAATGCAAGGCGGTCGCTTCGAATATTAGGGAGCTAAGCGACGAGTTCACAACCGTCAAGTCTACTTTGGGAATAACTGGTATCATACTCCAGAGCGGCCATATGTGGTGCCGGTCGCTCGTTATCGGGCAACATCGTAGCCACAGTCACGTATCCTGTCGGCCCGTAGGCAGCGATGCTGGAGGAGTAGTGCATAGCCTTAAGACGCTGATGGTTGGCGAATTCTAATATGGACAGCGTTCCCATGATGTTTGAATCCCGGTGACAAGAGTACGGAGCGATGTAACTGACCTTAGCACCCAGGTGGAAGATAACACTCGCCCAGGATGCCCAGTGGCCGTATTGGGACGTGTCAAGCCCGAGTTTAGCGAGAGCAAAATCACCAGGAACTGTAATAACTTTTCGGAGGTCAAGCGAGAGCCCGTACATCGGGGCTCTGCCAGTCGGGAATTGCAGTGCGTTGTGGCCGCAGAGTCTGGCCCAGCTGGGCATCCCGTATTGGATGATATTGAAGGGAGAACAGAATAACCGGGAGGTTCATGAAACGGGCTAAGGGTGGCCAGTGGACAAAACTTTCGAAAAAGAAGCCATATTTTGTTGGTGATTTTGTATCTGCCATTACATACGTGGTAATTGCCGTTGTCTGACGTCCTTGCTACCTGCCCTTTTGCCTAGAAAATCGCCTTCTCGCGGTGCTTGCCGAACTGACATGGCAATTTCGTCCAAAGCACTCCCGTGATTCCTATCCCTTGGTAGATATAGGTCTAATACCCAACATTGTCCATTGAAATTACGCAACGAGGTTGCAGTAGCCAATTAGCCACTTGCCTGCATTTGATTAAACCGTATAATATACCCCATAGCGACGACTATTCTGCAACATGTAACGTTGAAAGTCAGCAAGCGCTAGACTGGGTGGCATCACATATTGTCCTGTTTCACCAACTGCCCTTGCCAATTCAATCTGGTACCGTGCAGGAAAGCCAAAGTCTTTCGGAAACACTCTCTCATCTGTACCCAACAAAAGTTTCTTATTCCTATCAAGCTTGTTGTCCGTGTGTTGCGACACGAAATGGCTCTCTAGCAGCTCCTTCCATTCGTCTGCTCCCGCAAGTCCGATAGAATAGACCCCAGAGCAGAACAAAAACACGAAACCGTCTTTAAATTCTTTTTCTTCCCGATGGCACATTTTCAGATACTCTTGAAGCCGCTTCAGTGACGGTTTAACGGGAAATACTGTCCAGAACGGAATCAGATTATACCTGATTGCCAACCAGGGCTCCATTAAAATGAAACTTTCAACGAGAATCGAATCGATCGGGCGGCACAGTTGCTCCTTCCATTGGCGGTCCGCATCAGCAACGAGAGGACTGACATTTTCAGGACTATCGTAGTCAAGATACGTGACCTTAAAGCCATGATCCTTTGCAAATTTGCTCGCCAGATTCTAGAATCAGAACTCGCATATTTAGGATTTATTTTCCGGAAGTCAAGTCCTAAGAGTGTGTAGTCAAACTGGTTTCGAAAATTACTGTATCCTAGAACAGACTCCACTCTAAATCAACTGTCCACGTGGAACTGTGATCTCCTTCGGGCCAATAACTTTATTGGTTGCTTCGATGGGGGAATGCCTTATTGCAAAGTGTCATCCTCTTAAGTGTTGTTCTCAAACGGCCACCGGGCGGGCACCCCTCGCTTGTTAAATATCACGCTCTCCGGGGTCATTTCATCGTTATTCCACAAGACCCAGGGCCACTGCTCGATATCCTACCAAGCCCAGAGTTAACGTTACATAGCCTTATCAAGGTGTTCTGGTTGGGTCCTCGTCCCTTCACTGACTCACGTGGAAGACAGGTCGTCGGCTGACACAATTATCCGGAGTGTCCAAAGAAAAGTCGTAAATTTTCGAAGGTAGATTCGCTTTTCTAAGGAGCTCACATATCGCGTGAACTGTCAAACTGCCTGCGTCGGGTTTTAACATATGGTTTACTTTTCTTCAGACTTACATAACTTTCTTATTTAACTATTTCCTTTTCCCCTCTTATCTTCAATTCATTTTTAGTTTATGGGTAAATTTGTGCTTTCATGCTTGTCCAATCATCACACCCTTGTTACGCGGTGCCGACTGGTCACTGTGAGTTAGAAGGTTCACGGGTTATACTTGCCTGGTTCTAACTGCAAATTCCAAGAGTATCTCGCAACCGTACCGTTGCTATGCAAAGCCTTACGTCGGGTTCGGGTCCTGTTGAGTATCTTGCAGAACGTGCCAGAAGTGCGCGCCAAGTAAGTCAATCACTAAGTATTACCACTGCGTGAATCCCCTACTTGTAGGTTGGGTTGTCTTGAGGTGAACTGTGAAGTGCAAAGTACTAAAGGTAGTAACCAAGTAACAATGTGCAATTGATCGCGAAGAACTAAATACATGATGGTAAAAGAGTGTCCTTATATATCCAGTCCTTCCTATCGGACGGTGAGCCGTCCTGTCCTGTCGTGGGATGCGTCCTATCCGCTGATGGTATTGGTCACGTGGTTGCTCGATCGGGTAGTTCGTTGTGCCGGACATTACTCAGTATATATGCGGCTATACACACAGGATATTGTCCGCCCCAAGGACACGGTGTCCTTGATCACCCTGAGCGATCACTGATCGTGGTTGTGTAAGATGTCTTTTTACACGGACCCACTTTGCTCCTGGGAGCACCTTGCCCTGAAACGAAGGAACGTAGTGAAAGGGTTTACAACCCTGCGCGAGCTGCCCGCCAACCTTTGCTGGCCTCTCACTGCCAAACTCTTCGTTTTTTTCGTTGCTAATTGGTGCTTTCTCGTGCCAAGGAATGCTCCTATTGACTGCCAATACGCTCCTTCTCGTTTGCTGCTGCGACTCTCCAGGCTCTCCTCCGATTGCTGCTCTGTCTCTCCGCGCTCTCTTCTGATTGCTGCTCACCTACTTTCCTTTCCTTCCTCCTTAGGCTTCGTGCTTCCCGAATTCGTATTCGGCCTCTGTTGCTTTTTCTCCGTGTCTAGGGATCCCGGTGTTCCCGCTCGTCTTGGAGTCGGTGTTCCGGCCTTCTCGCCTTTCTATTATGATTCCACGCTTATTTGTCCTGAGCATCCTGCAGATAGTACTATTATGCACTCATGTGCACGGTGACGTGTTCGACTTCTACTATATGAATGATCAACACGGATCTTTCTCGCTGGCCCGAACTTTTTCCTGTCGCTCCTCTCCCAGTGCGCCTTGGAACGGATGCCGTTTGCTGGTTTCAAGTCATCTCTTCTCTAATGACATCTCCTCCTGCGCAACGTTCTTTCTGCTCTGGTTGCGCCAGACCATGGCGCTCTACACAGTTTCGGTCCTGCGACAATTGCCGCAGGAGGGCTTCTCAACGGGCGGTCAGAGCCCGACAGCTTTCAGCTACTGTAGGCACGAGTAATATTTTAACTGGGCCACCTCCGCCTCTAACTTCCCCTACTGTTCCTGCCTTTTCGACGCTACATTTTTCGTGCTCTACATGTGCACGCCCCTGCCGGTCGTTGTATCATAGGACGTGTAATCGCTGCCGCCAGGCAGCTACACGGAGGACGGTAGCATCGTACCAGGTACTGGGAGTGGTCCGTCCTTCTTATCTGCTGCATTGTTGACCCTGTTCAGCACACACTGCAGCCCGTTCGAGACCTGGAACGTTTTTGCCTGCAGGAGGTTCTACTCTAAGGCCTCTGGCCCCAGTTCCACACACGCCACATCCTGTTCGTGATCCTAGAGCATCCTTGCCCGCAAGGGCATCTCCTTTGAGGCCTCTAGCACCAGCTCTCCGCATACCAAGTCCTGTTAATGACAATTCTGTACATGATACTGTAGCATACTTGCCAGAAAGGAGATCCCGTTTGCGGCCTCTGGCACCAGTTCCGCAAGCGCCGTTGGCTCCGCCTCCATCGTTCGATATTCTAAACGCTGCGCTTCGGCCCGTCCCTGTGCCATTATATTCGAGAACCGGGCCGGGACCCCAGAGAGTGCTACTTCCTGCAGGTCCTTTGCCGGTGTCCTCCCCACAGTCGCCACGGATCTCACAGGCATCTCCCATCAATATAGAGACAAGATGCTATCCGAATCCTTTACAGGCCACGGTCAACAGGGAGAGAACGGTAGATTTGGAGAGGTCGCTGGCCAATTTAAATCGAGCGGTAGGTTTCCTGCGTGCTGAGCTAGAGGCTCGTGCCGTCGCCTCCGATGCTTTTCCCCCGGATATCTCCTGTTCGCATATACGAGCATCCATAGCCAGATACGAGGATGAGATTTCTGCGGCTGCGAAGAGATGCGTCTGTTGTTCGTGCGGGGAACTTGTCTCCGACACAGATATCTACCGCGCACATAATGAGGATCCTTTGCTGCTGTCACTGTTGGGGAGTCTTGATCCCTGCGGCCGACATGGTAACACTTGGAATCTGTGCTCGTCGTGCCATGCTTCGCTCAATCGAAATATGATCCCCAAGTTCTCTGCGAAGAACCTTGTGAATGTGACTCGGTGCCAGGACTATCCGTCTGCTCTGGAAGGCCTCACTCTGATAGAAGAATGTCTCATTGCAAAGTGCCATCTTCTCGGTGTCGTTTTCAAACTGCGACCAGGTGGCCGCTCCTCGCCAATCAACTACCGTGCTCTCCGTGGCCATTTCATTGTCATCCCACAGGACCCAGAACCACTTCTCGAGATCCTACCGAGCCCGGAGTTGACATTACATAGTCTGATCAAGGTGTTCTGGTTGGGTCGTCGACCTCCCGTAGATTCGGACCTGATTCAATTCCTACTCGTGCGGAAGGCGAAGGTTCTGGCAGCCTTGGAGTACCTTGTCCAACATAACCACCTCTACCGTAACACCATAATTAACCGTCCCATGATCGATGACTGGGGCGATGACTTTATCCCGCCGGACCTGCGGGATACCATCATCTATCTCGACGAGCCGGATCACCACGAGCGCGAAGGTTACACGGTAAATCTACAGACAGGGAACTACGAGAACGATCTTCAGGCTGCCCAGGATAGTGCATTCGACGCGAGTGGCGGTAGCCCTTTCAATACCGGCTCTGTCGCCACGGACATAAACGGAGAACGTCAAGACCTGGATCGCCGCGTTTTGGACGCATTGTTCACCGTCCTTACGAACCAACCGGCCCCGTCGAGTGAGAGTACCTCAGCCAGAGAACGTGCAAGAGGCACACGGCCCCTTGG